ACCACGAGGCGTGCATCCACCCACTGAGACAGAGGAGCTGATCTACGGGGAGCTCACCAAGGCCAGCTGGACTGTGAACGAAAAAGCATGGGATAAAACCGGACTCTCTGAACATGGCGAACAATGAGGGCTGATGAGACACCAAGGACAATGGCAGGGGGTTTTGATCCTACTTAATGTGCTGGCTTTGTGGGAGCCTAGCCAGTTTGGATGTTCACCTTCCTAGATATGGACGGAGAGGACCTAGGACTTAACACAGGGAAGGGAACCCGGACAGCTCTGTGGACTGGAGAGGGAGGGGGAGAGGAGTGGGGGGAGAAGGAGAAGGGTGGGAGGAGGGGGAGAAGGGTGGGAGGAGGGGAAGAAGGGTGGGAGGAGGGGAAGGGAAATGGGAGGCTGGGAGGAGGTGGAAACTTGTTTTTTGTTTATGTTTTTTTTTCTTCTTTTCGCAATAAAAAAAATGCAAAAAAATGCAAAAAAAAAGAAAGATAATCATAAAACATCATAAAAGGGGAAGCTTCTATGAACCCTCAAATGCTTAATCAAAGCACTAGAAGGTAGATCTTTGAATTCAAAGTCAACCTGGCCCCCAAAGTGCGTGTCAGGGCAGCCATGGCTACAGAGAAACTGTCTTTGGCGGATATGCTCTCTTGCTCAGCTTTCCGTGCTGTGGTCAGGTAGATGCATCGAGCCTCCTACAACATCCTGTAAATTTTATTCTGGCTTTGCCTCTTGTCAACTGAAGCAGCACCATGCTGTCTGTGCACCTAAATCTTGTGTGTACTGGTGAGTCCTGCTGGGAATGAAGGGGGTGCAATAACAGGGTGGAAATATCTCATGGGAGGCTGGATCTTTCCACAGAAGGAACACTGGCTTCCGTGGTTGATATTGGTGCATGAGTTCATCGTAATGAAGTGAGCTCTGACTCTACTGTACAGAGATCCAACAGGGACCGGGGTATCAGATCGCTAGGCTGTTGGAAGGAGATAGATCATCCATCACGAGCTTTTCTTTCCAGGCTTCATCCTACTCCTGAGGACTTTGGCACAAGCAGGTGAGTCCAGCCTCAGTCATGAGATACTACTACCCGTGCCAATAGAGAAGATTCATTCTAACAGGAGAGTAGGCATCACGGTGTGTTGTCTCGTGGAATCTGTGAGTGATTCTTTGGTTAGTCTCCTGAACTGTGAAGTTAGTACCTTGAAAACACACCTCTCAGTCCTGTTCCAGGTTGTACCGGACACTGCCCCTGGCTCAGTTAGGCATCAATTTTGATCAGACAAACATTTTTGGGTTTTTTTAAGACAGGGTTTCTCTATGTAGCTCTTACCATCCTAGAACTCACTTTGAAGACCAGGCTGCCCATGAACTCATATATTCACCTGTCTCTGCCACCCAAGTGCTGGGATTAAAAGAGTGTATATAACTGGGCAGTGGTGGCCACTTCTTTAATTCCAGCACTTGGGAGACAAAGGCAGGCAGATCTCTGTGAGTTCGAGGCCAGCATGGTCTACAACAGCTAGTTCCAGGACAGGCTTGAAAGCTACAAACCCTGTCTTGAAAAATCAAAATAAAAATATTAAAAGAGTGGGCCATAATCCTGAAGAATAATCAATACTTTTAAATAAAAAATAGTCTTCCCCTTTCTACACTCTTACCTGACCATCACCACTTATTTTTGATATTATAATGCTATAATTTATTACCTTTTAAATATGTGTGTCACTTGACAAGCCATTGAAGTTATTTTTGTCTTCAAACAACTTTGCTACAGATAGAATTTGTGTATCACCAGCACACTGTTGACACATCTCATTTTTGCCTGCTTTACTGAGCTACTGTTACTTTCTCCACATGAGGATGTCAGGTCACCCATTACCAGCCTTTCTTTCTGCTTGACGATCTTCACAGCATTTCCAATGTTTATAATGATGAACTCTTGTCTGCTACTGTTTTTCTGAGAAAATCATTATCTTGATTTCTGAAAGACAGTGTTGCTTATATTTATAGGTAGGGTTTTTCTTTTCTCTACTGACTTCGTTGAATACATCATCATGAACTCTTGTGAATTGTAGGCCTTCCATTAGCTGTAATTAGAAGTTCCTTATAGGTTCTTTGCTTCTCTTATTATTGTGATTTCAGGATCTCTTATGATAATAATATGTTCTGTGATCATGATCGTTTGGATTGAATTTCTTTTTTACCATTTGACCTTCTTGGACCTGACCATGTTAATTTTACTCCAAGTTCAAGAGTTTTCTATTCTTTGTTCTCTACATTTTTGTTTATTTTAATTAGCTGTTTTTCCTTTCTTTTGTTAATTCTTTGATAATTTAATACAATGTATTTAATTATATGCATCCTCCGGTGTAACATCATCCTAGTTTCACTCCACTAGACACTAAAGAGAACCTCTGTGTTCCTTTACTCTTTCTTGAACTTCTGACTGATAATTTGGTATTGAGATTCACTCAAAAATATCCTGACATTTTTCTTTATTGAATTTTCATTCATTTCTGCATTTGCCCATCAGATTTCATAAAGCCTGACCTAAGCACATTCATTCTCTTATCATATTTACTATTGAAATAATCTATTAACTTTGTAAATTTTTGCATTTATCTGAGTTTTACCCATGCGCCCATAACTCACGTTTTTGTGTGTGCCTGTGTGCTTATGTTTGTGTGTGTGTATGTGTCTGCATCTGTATGTGTGTGTTGGGTGTGCATTTGCTATGACACAACTGTGAAAGTGAAGGAAAACTTCTGGAATCAGTTTCTCTTTTCACCATGTGGGTCCCAGCAATGGAAACCAGAGAGTCAGGCATGGCAGCAACAGCTTTACCTCCTTAAACATCAAGCTGGTCTACAAGTTTGTCCAATTCAGTAGTTGTATGTTTTGCTTAAGAGAGATGTTGCCAAAATTTTTATGTTGTTCAATGATTTGCTTCCAAATTTTATAAAACATTTTAATCAGAGTTAATTTTTTATAGTTAGATACCACCTTTTTCTTTTATAAAAGACTGTTCTCTTTAATTTAATTTCTTGAGACTTTCATACATGAGTAGTTTATTTGCATCATTTCTACCCATTTGAATATATCCAAAGAACTTGATACCCTATGCCATGGATACTTCCCCAGTAATGTTTCTTGCTGTTCTATTCTCAAGAACTAAGACAAGGAAACTATCTAGATGTATTTCAAATGATGAATGGCTAATAAAAATGTGTCACATACACACTCTGTAATACTAGTCAATGGTAAGTAATAAAAAAACCATGAAATTTTTAGAAATATAAATAATTAGAAAATATTTTACTGAGTAAGATTACATAGACCATAAAAAATGCCACATTTTCTCTCTTATGTAATGTTCCTAGCTCCGAAACTTTATTCATGATATCTCATAATTCTGTAATTGTTTTAAAAATGCTACAGTGAATTCTCTGTTATGGGCTTCATAAATCTTCCTTTCCGCTGTATTTACTACCAGAGCCTCAGCATTGCTCTCTGGCATGTTTGACTTCTCTGATTTTCATACGCAAGTATTTACACAAAGAACCTTCATACTAAAGAGAACTATTACTTCTGTCACATGCAGATGTTCTATGGATGTTAATAGATGTTTACTATTAATTCTCACCTGAGAATAGATTTGGGTAAATTGGATGCAACCCTGGACAGGATAGCATTGATGTCAGTTTCCCATGTTTCACTAACTCGCTTCCTCAGTTTTCAGATCAGATGCTTTTGGTAGCTGGGTTTCCTGGTACAGTAAATTACTGGCCACTTATCACAATCAGGAACAGTTTTTCACTGGGGTACTTGAAAGCCTCTGCCTGAGAAGTGTTTCAAGATGTCCACACAGGTCTATATGGTCTACTGTCTCTTTTCTCAGAAACACCTCCCATGTGGATACAAAAGAATTACCAAGATTCATGAGCTGGAATCATGATTCCTAATAATTTTATCAACAAGTGACTAACGAGGCAGAACAATGCTATTCTCTCAATGTTCCACATGCAAGGAGCCTAAAAAGGTTAAGAAACTATATTTCTGTATCTAACTTGTCACTCATTATAGAAACATTAGCCAATGTGACCTCTGTGAATGAAGCTCTGTACAAGAGTACTTAAGAGACAGAGTAGTACAAAGGATTCATTCCTCCTGTTTGTTGTTAATTTTCTCGGTTCGGTGGTCCTGGGGGCTGACTTCCCTCACTGCTGAGATATTGAACATTCACAATGTATTTCTAATCCAGTATTGTTAAGTTTCTAGAGTCTATGAAGGTGAGTCAAAAACATTCCTTTTTTATAACTTCTTGGCCATAATTTCAATCTGTCTTTTCACAAATGAATCTTTTCCTCAAATCCTCTGATATAATTTCCCCTTAAATTACATTTTTTCACAACTAAATCTACTTTATTATTTAATACTCACTCAAAATTCTCAATTAACATATCTTAGCATAAAAAGATATTCCATATGTACATGGTAGCTGGGTGACACACAAGACATGAAAATGACACTTTTTTGTTTGAGACTTTCCTTGGAAAGATATAACACAGGCAATTCTGGTAACCCCATAAAGGAAACCCAGGACAGACCAAACAATGATTGCATCAATGTCCAAATCTTTGAACTTGTACATCTATTGAGATTACTAATAGCAGTATGGATACGAGTTTATTCGCTGAAACAAGGGATGACTCAAAATCATTACTGAAAACACATCTCAATATGGATAATTTTCATGAAAGCCAAAACTATGGAGCTCCCTGCACAACTTGCTGGCAGTTGAATGGGTCTTGGATAACTCCTTTTAGAATTCAGCAGGAAAAGTAACTTACAGTTTCTATCGAGCAGGAAGGGCCACTGGTGAATCTTGCAAGTTTCAGCCCTCAAATATATTAATGTTTGTTTACCTCTTGAGTCCCCTGTGTCTTTAAAGCTCTAACATTGAAGCAGAGATTTTTCAGTTCAGAAAAATGAGTCAAACGATGAACCCTGAAGAAGTAAAATTTGGAGACACTGATCCCAGGAATGATGGTGAATCACTAAATATTTTACCCTGTGTATCTTTCTACAGGAATTAATAACAAACCTTCACTGTCTGCCTGGCCAAGCCATGTTGTTCCTCAGGGACAGTATGTGACCCTCTTTTGTGACACTCACAGTGAGTTTAACTTAGTCAAGCTGTACAAAGAGCATGGGGATACTATGCTTCATGTCTATAACAGAATGTTCCGGCAGAGTCTTCTCTTGGGGCCTGTGACCCCAGCATTTGGAGGAACCTACAGATGCTATAGTTATAAACATCAATACCATAATGAACTCTCATCACACAGTGAGCCTCTGAAGATCATAATTTCAGGTCAGAGATCATGTTTGCTGTGCCTTTTCATTCTGCCAAACCTCCCCACAGGAGAATTTTTAAAATGAGTTCTAGTCAGAATCTCAGCATTATAAAGGAATATGCTACACAGGCAATTGGAAAATATTGTGCTGTTACCAGGGTCAAATAAGTTGGAAATGGTCCATAGAAAGATGGAGGAGTCTGTGTACTAGGGGACATAAAAAATGAAAAGGACACTGGGATACTGATCAAAAGAACAGATTAAGGGGAAAATAGCATAGGATTTCTGGGATACATAGATTGATAGCAGGTTCATACTCACAATCTATTTATTTCTAGGAATCTACAGGAAACCTATCCTACTGGCCCTACCAACTCCTCTGGTAAAATTAGGAGAGAAGACGACATTGAAGTGTCACTCAGAGATTATGTTTGACATTTTCATTTTGACTTCACATAGAATGGGAATAAACAAGGACTCTTATCAGCTCTCTGCAGAATATCATTTTGGAGGATCCAATGCCAACTTCCCAATAGGACCAGTAACACCTGAGCATACTGGGACTTACACATGCTACGGTTCTTACAAGAATACACCATATGAGTGGTCTGAATCCAGTGACCCTGTTGACATAAAGATCACAGGTAAGAGGGTGTTACCTGGTCACCAGCCTCTCTGTGATGAGAACAGTTATTATATAGACAGCATGTCCTAGATGAGTATGAGAAGCTTAGAGAAAGACAGACTTAGAGAGTATATTACTGACATAGATGATGAAAACAGAGATACAAGAACAAACCATTGGTTGTAACATAAAGCACAGATACAGGGATGTCAAAGGAATCATACCTAGAGATAAAGAGAACTGAGCAGCTTTGTGAGACTAATATGTATCAGAGACAATGACACCCTTCTACTAATGTTCAAAGGCCTAGAAGTTTATGATTTTGTTTGGCTTCTCCCTCTAAAAGACATCTGTCAGAAGACCTAGACATATAAGTCTGATCTGTATTCATGTGCCAAATATGGTTCATTCTTCATGGGTCCTGAGGTCTTGGTACAGATGGCACCCATAGAATTTCTGTCAAGTTTGACAGTTCTTCCATGCTTGTGTTTGAACAATTATTCATCAAAGAATAACATAACCCTAGGTAATTGAATAGATCACCAGTCGCTGTCTGTTCTCTATATTTCCAAACTGTTGTGAGCCCATGTTCCAAATTCATTCACACATTCTAGGATTGGTGAAAAAATCCTATAGTGGTTCACCCTGGAATAGACATGAATACAGAAGCATGGAAATATGTTGTAGGGAGAGGGGCCCCTATGGTATAGGAGGTCCTTCTCTATTTGTGTTGCTTTCATTGGTTATTAAAGAAACTGCCTTGGCCTGGTTGATAGGGTGGGACTCAGGTAGTTGGGGAAGACAGAACAAAATTCTGGGAAGAAGGGCAGAGTGGCAGATGCTATGAATCTCTGACCTGAAATCGACATAGGTTAGAATCTTGCCAGTAAGCCATAGTCACGTGGTGATACACAGATTTAATAGAAATGGGTTAATCAAGATGTGAGAGTTAGCCAATAAGAGGCTAGAGCTATGGGTCAGGCAGTAATTTAATTAATATAATTTCTGTGTGGTTATTTCTGGTGTAAACTAGCCAGGAGGGGTGAAAAAGCAGGCTCTCTCTCCTTGCAACAGAAATATATACAAACAGGCAGACTGAGAGAAAGATTCAAATACTGAGGAAATAGTAAGGATGGCATGTGTGGGAAGAAAAAAATCTGCAAAAAGTTTTAAGCTTAATATTGGGTATTTCAATGCAGAAATAGGGAGCAGATGGTACATTACACTTGAGCAGTAAACACACTACGAGAACCAAGGGAGGGAAGTTCATCATGGCCCCTGTCCAAGGAAATAACCACATTCATGGGATATTATGTCCTTTGAAAAGAGAGATCCATTAACACAGACATGGGGGGAAAGGCCAGATATAAAATTAATTACTTAGAATGAAGTCAGATTCTACATTTTTAATATACATAGGATGGGGAAGTTATAAGTCATGAAATTGGGAACAAACCATAAGAAGGAGAAGGATATTAAGAAAGTGGAATGGAAAAGAGAAGAAATACACACGACATAGAAGGGGAAATGAGGGGGAAGGACCAGCAAAGGTTGTATAAGTGAAGCGATTAGGAAGAAAATGTACAAAATGAACTGTCTGAGAATGTCTTAATGAAGTTCTTTGCTTTATATCTTAATTAAAACAAAATAATAAGTATCTCTAATTAACCCAATGATTGACAAAACATTTGGAAAAACTGAAAGTATAAAGAACAATGGGAAAAGGAACGGAATCAGTGGAAATCGATAGAGAAGAAAGAATGATAGCATAAATATGATCAAGATTACATATATAAACATATGTAACAACACTTAAAGAAAAAGAAGTGACAAAAATGATGTAATTATACTTTAACTTCAGATTTTTAATGAAAACAAATATAAAATGCACTAGTTGAATGTTTCATAATAAATCCAATTACTACATAAATTAAATATCTGTTTTATAAAATCAAACTTAAAAAGAAAGATGGTATGAACTAATGAATATCAAGGCAGAAACTGTCAAAAAGTGAGAACTGAAATAAAATATGTTGGTATAGGATTGAAGCCAGAGATGAGTAAGGTAATTTAGAAGAAAAGAAGGAGATGGGAAAGAAAGGGATGTTGTGAAGGGAAAGATAAATGAGAGATCACAGAAATAGAAGCATGGAGATAGATCACTGAGGAGTGACTGAACACTGGTAAGGAACTGCTCCTCCACTGTCTCTACCTCCTTCCTTCTAGGTTTGTACAAGAAACCTTCTCTGTCTGCCCTGATGGGAACTGTGGTGACATCAGGAGAGAACATGACCTTGTCCTGCATCTCTGACTATCAGTTTGACGTGTTCCATCTGTCCATGAAAGGGTTGCCTCTGGGACATGGGTTGCCTGCAGAGGAGAGCCACAGTGGAACATTCCAGGCCAACTTCCTTTCTGTTCCTTTGATCCAGGCAGAAACGTATAGATGCTATGGTTCCTTCAGGAACTCTTCCCATGTGTGGTCATCTCCAAGTGATCCATTGTACCTTTCGATCACAGGTAAGAAAGTCTTATAAGTATCTCATATCTTGTGACTAAGGAGATCCTAAAGAAGCCATGTCTGAGAACAATTTATTGGTGATAGAGAGACTCAGTAACATACACATATACATAATATGTCTGAGTATACAAAAAATATTAATCAAAGACAAAAAGGCTATCAATGTAAGGGGTGTATGGAAAAACCTGGAGGAAGGATACCTGAGATGTGCTGAAGAGATTAAAAGAATAAGAAAAGAGATACAATTATATTTCATTTAAGAAGTTTTTTAAAAGATATAGAGTTTAAGAATGAATATCAAATTACAAAATAATAGATAAGGAGCCTCTCAAATAATCCTTATCCTGATCGGTCAGCCACACTGGGATGTGTATGTATCCATAGAGAATAAGAAAAAGGTCAGGACAGATTCATTAAGGATAAGATTGCAATCAGTTTGGACAGATCACAGAAGGAGCAGCCTCCTGATCTCTCCCTCACATAGCTCTCCACAGTATTCCTATTGACTCATCACAATGTGAAATAAACACCTCAAAGAAAATCACATAATGGCATCCTAAGATTCTAAAGGCTCAGCACTAAGAGGTGGAGTAGGTGCTGCTTACTCTCCAAATTTAAAGGACTTTGCATGTGGGGAAGTCACATAGTCTTTTGGTGAACTTTTACCCTCTCCTCTCCTCTTCCCTAGTAAACTCATCAAGAAATTTCACTTCATCCACTGAACCAGACTCCAAAACTAGTGAGTAATTTTTCCCCTTCTCTATTGTGGGAACTTGGGGACCAAATGCTCTTGGGCTCATATTTTGACTCAACTTCCTCACATCTCAGTAGTTTTAACATCATCATCTCCTCTCTCTTATTCTTAAACTCTGCTACTCCAGAACGTTTTAGGAGCATCATGGGAACTGTACCTGAGATCTCCTACATGTAAAAGGGAAAGCAGATTTAGCCCCCTTCCAGGATCAATGAAGTGCTCTTTATATCTCAGTTTTTTCTGGAGAGAAGATCATAGAGTCTAAAAAAGGAAGCAAGCAAGCAGAAAGGACAATTTTATAAAAATATTGCTTGTGACAGACTACACTAGACTCTGCTTTAGCCCTTTGGAAGAATTAGTAGTTTGGTTTAAGGGTGTTGAACACGTAGTCAATACCCTTGAAGCAGTTAGATGCTGTTTGTTTGCTTCCCAGCTGCCAAGACCTTAAATAGTTACACAGAAACTATATTAAATGCAACTGTTTGGTCAATAGCTTAGCATATTTCTAACTAGGTCTTACATCTTAGATTCACCCATTTCTATTACTTTACATTCTATCATGGACTTATGGTTTACTGGCGAGGTTCCAGCTAGCATCAGGGGTCTGTCTCCTGCTGTGGCTACATGGCTTCTATCTGACTCTGACTTTTTTCCTCCTCTATCTGCTTGGAATTCCCACCTTGCTCTATTCTGTTAAGCTACTTGGTGAAACACCTTTATTCATTAACCAATAAGAGCAACACATATGCAAAAGGACTTCCCACACCAATATATGCCCTCTAGATTCTTTTATTTTATTTGTATTAGTTATTTGAGAATATCAAGTTTTGATCAAATTTACCCTCTTTCTTAACTCTTCCTGAATTTACCCACTCAACTCTGTTATCTCTTTTTGTCCGTTAAGTTTAATTTATGATGACCAAAAATTAGGGGATGTTGGTCTAATACTGAAGCAAGGTTAATTTACATACATGAATATTCTTGAAACTGATCCTCACAACAGCTATCATTAACCCACAGCTTCTTGACTAGGGTTGAGACTTCATGTCCACATTCCCAGGGCATGATGGAATTTGGTTTACTTGAGTATGTAATGATTTTGTACATGTAGACACAACTGCTTTTGAGTTCATATATGCAACTGCCCTCCTGTGTCCAGGAGACACTTTTCTTGGTTGTTATTATCAACCTCATTCAGCATTCTTGGTCTAGCTTTTTTTTTCTTAAGTATGTAAAAAAGATTTATTGGAAGTCACATCAGCTTTACAGTAAAACTATGATAATCAGGGAAAAAAGCACTGATTTTTATATGTAAGTTCTGTTTTAAGATGGAATAATAATTTTCTTGTTGTTGAACACCAGAGAACCTACACAGACGATTAGGCCCTGTGATTAAAAAGTGATCAAACTCACCGTCAGTATGATAGCCTACTGTCAAAGCAAGCCATTTTTTAATGCCACATGAAAACACATTACTAAAACTTCTATTATAATCCCACTTATGAATAAATTTATTCACGGAGGCATCTTTTCATATGTCTATATTTCAAGCAATGCAACACCATTTGAGAATGATTGAGTTGCATAGCAAGTTCTTCAATATTGGGACTTTTCATCCTGAAGCAAAGCTTCTGAGACTCAGGGAGTAAATAGGCTTCACAAGCCTGGGAAAGCTGAAGTGTACAAGAATCACAGAGTGGAGCCAGAATTACAAGACCTGGCCACACAGCTCCAGAGGCAGTAAACAACCCCTTGAGTAGACTCTGACCAGCTGAGCTCTATGAACACTGAACATTACATAGGTGGAAGTGGTATAAATGTCCCATTTAGAGCCAAGAATTCTACAGTCTTTTATTCTCTGCAGTTTGACTAATTGTGGGTATCTGTATTGATCACCACCTATTGTGAGTATAAAGTTCCCTGCTGAGGTTTGAGAGATGCATTAATATAGAGTTTAAAGAAATGTCATTAGATGTCATTTTAATACTGTGTGCATTTAGCAGAAAAAAAGAATACTAGGTTCTTCAACAAAAAAATCCTGAAGATTAATAGTCCATTACTTATCCATCTATCATTAAATATTAAGCAATCTGTTACAGATATCCTAAAACTGACATCTTATCGATTCATATCTTCCATCAGATAATCATGGGCTCCTGCATATTCTGATTAGACTGTCACTTTTCATGATTGCTGTCTTCCTCATCTTCATCATTCATTCTTGGACCTCTGCCAAAAGGAATATTAAAAAGAAGCCAGAAAGAGACATCTAAGGAGCCAGAGAAACTGAACTTGGAGGAAAACAGGTATGTGATCTTCATTCACTTAGGCCAGGACAGGGCCACTGAGTTAGGGCTTTACAAAGAGAAAAGGTAAGTCCTTATTCTTTCCCTAAGCCTTCAAAGTAGGGACTAATTCTTCACAATCAAAGCAGACTAATATCTAGGAGAAGGTCTTATGAAAGACAGAAAGCTAACATGAGAATGAGTAGCATAGCAAATGATAAGATGGGGCTTAGAACATAGAGATGCAGAACAGCTGACTCTGCTCTAGGGAAGAAGAGCCACCTTGGAGTTTACCGTATCTCTCAATAAAACATCAATATTAGAAATGAGCTTGCAGAAGTGCGTTTTAGGTGTCTTTAACTACTTCTGTCCCCCAAAAACTACAGTCATAAATGACCAAGGGTATGAAGTTAAAAGAACATGAAAGAAATAGATTCTCATGAACTTAGCTTGTTCCATATATGATGGGTCCCACATTCCCTCATACTGTCTAGAATATGTGCATACAACATCACTTAACATTTACCTCTTTCTAGGAACATGAAAGAAAAGAAATGCTGGAGGTGACATACACAGAATTTGAACAGTGGACATTCAAACAATTGACCATGCCCGATACCGAGCAGCCCCAGGAATTTTGCAGAGATCAGTGTGTACATGGTAGTTATGAAACAATAATCTAAGAACAAAGATTATCTGTAGCTCATGAGTTCTCAAATAAAGTTCTGAAGAATTCCTCTGTGGAGACCACAGCACATTTGGCAGCACAAAAGAACAGAAGCAATGAAACAATTATTGAAATCATAACAGAGGTCTCTAACTTCAGAATCATCCATCATTATTCTGGTCTGCATCTGAATGTGGCTTTCTTTCATTTAAAAATATTAGGACTCTCACTTTTCCTTAGATAGAAATCAAAACCTTTTCCTCAATCTATTGGTATTTATTTCTTTTCACTTCTACCAACCTGTAAAACCTAAATAGCTGCATATTCTAGACCTACTTGAAACTGTAATCATTTGAGTATATCACACTTTCATATCAGCAACAGTCTCACTCTTTTATTAGTATATATTACTAATATGTAATAATGCTATACAACACATTGAGTCTCAAGACATTTTCTTATATGAATCTGTATTTTGATCATTATCAAACCCAGTTATCCTATATTGGCTTTTCAATACTCCTTCTAATGTCCTTCCAGAGTCCCACACTTAACATAGGGCTTTAGCATATGCTGTGCTGCATCTTTGCTCTTTGTCAAGGTTGTCTCTCATCAGATGCATCCATGTGTTTCTTTAATCTTTCAATGTAGACTCCTCTATTGAGAAAAGTTTTTTTTTTAAATATGATTGAAGTAAGGCACCATCTAGTTCTGCCAAGTCTGTTACTCTGCACCTGAGAAGTTAGTTCCTCTGAGTCTAAGTCTTTTGGAAGAAAGATCATTAAGGCTCAGGAGGTAAACAAAACCTTACAAGTATCAGCAAGATCCTAAAACAAACAAAACTTAAATGTGCCCTCCTAAGATTTTATGAGTAATAACAATCACAGAGCATAGAAGACTCTCCAGTTAACCAAACCACCTGCAAGGCAGCAAGGGAGCACCAGGTGAGCCGCTTTCCTGTAGCATCACCCATTTTCTCACAAGCGTGTGGAGATACAGACATTTTTGAGTCACCTGTGCTCCCATTATTATCTCCTCATACAGTGCCATGGCTAATGTCACATGGATGGCTAACTTTACTTTTAAAAGTTTAAAATTTCTGAGCTCAAGAGAATTATAGAGCAAAATTGGACTTGAATGTTAAAGCCTGCTAACAGTTCTTTTTGTAGTTGACTGGTCTTGTACAACTTTAACAAAACTGCTCTTTCTGTTTCTACAAATGAAACCTTGCTTTGTACCAGATGACCTGTTTTCTTCTAGACAGAATATAACTTTAGGTCATTGCCTTTATAAATCACCTGACTGAGGTATCTCGAAGCTGCCATTTGGAATTCTAGATGTATGCCTGGTGTCGGGATATGAATAAAAGCCTCTGCTTTATTAGAATGTATTAATTGTCAGAGTGTTGAATCTCTAAACAAACATGCTTGTCCGTAGAACCATGATCCTGTAAGCTACCCTACTAAACTCCTGAGTTCAGTAAAATAGTCCTGGGTGGATCATTTATTGCATCTGTCATAGGTGACCTATCTGGTATCAACAGATGTCTGCTCACATCTCACAATAAAGAATCACACAATCTATGTACACAGTAACAATTTTAGATATGGTTTCTCTTGCTGGGATAAACCCTGACCAAAAGCTAATTGATGCAAAGTATATATTTGGATTACATATCTAACATACCCCAGATCACAATCCATTCAGTGAAGCCAAGGCCAGGAAACTGGAGGCAACAACTGAAGCAGATGGAACAAAGTTCATCACACACTGGATCATTCCTCATGCCTTGCTCAGCCTACTTTATTATATACAACTTCAGATGACCTGCCAAGCAGTGGCATCATCACAGTGGTCTAAGCCATCTCACTTCAACCATGAATCAAGAAAATGCCCAGCAGACTTGCCTATAGACAAATCATGTGGATGCATTTTCTCAAATGAGAGTTCCAATTCCCAAATAACTACAACTTGTGTGAAGTGAAAAATAATCAGCTAGAACATTACCCCTCTATTCTCTTCTGCATGTCCATGCTAGTATTGTAAAATACATCTTTGTTTGTGTGCCCCTCTGTCTGACTGTTGATTTGAAACCGGAACTTGATAAGTACCCTCAACTTAGGGTAGTCTTACTTTATCCTCCCAAGAGTTAAAGGTACAGGGGCTGTGAGAATTCAGAAGTTGGAATTTTATTTTAAGTATCTTTAATCTAAATTCCTTTCAAGAATGCAGCAGAGAGGTTTTTGAGTGCCATGTGACTTGAAAATTTTAGGCAGTAAAAAAAAATCAAAAGCATGAAAGTGAATACACCTAGAACTCACATTTAGCAAAATAAGCTAGATTCTGATAGGTAAATACTACACATTTTATATGTGTAAACTAGATATAAAATTACATTTTTACTTTTTTACTTTAATTATCTTTTTAGTTTAGCATGCACAGTATTGGGTTTCATCTGTATACATATGTATAATATTGTGTGTGTGTGTGTGTGAGAGAGAGAGAGAGAGAGAGAGACAGAGACAGAGACAGAGACAGAGACAGAGGGAGAATCTAGAAAGTAAGACAAGAAAATGAAGAAAGAGACCTTCTTAAGGTAAGATTTTTTATTTGAGGAAATTTTGTTTTCTCTTTATTTTTAAAAATTAATATTTTGTAGTCCAATTACAATTTACTCTCTATTCCTCCTCTCCTCCTCTTCCCTCCTCCCAGCTGACTTTCCCCCTTCCACTCCTCCTCCTTTCTTATCAGGAAAGGGCAAGTCTCCCATAAACATAACCAGCCATAGTATATCGAGTTACAATAAGAACTAGAACCTCCTCTCCTATTGAGACTGAACAAGGCAACTCAGTATGAGGGAAGGGTCCCAAAAATGGGTTAACACAGTCAGAAAGAGCCTTATGAGACCCACAAGACCAAGCTTTACAACTGTAGCACATGGAGAGGGCCTAGGCCAGTCAAATGCAAGTTCACTGATTGTCGGTTCAGTATCTGAGCCCTTATGAGCCCAGGTTAGTTGATTCTGTGATTTTCTAGTGCTGTCCTTGACTCTTCTGGCTCTTACAATTCTTTCTCCCTCTCTTCAGCAGGCTTCCCTGAGGTTCACCTTCTGTTTGGATGTAGGTCTCTGCATCTGTTTTCGTCTATTGCTGAATGAAACCTCTCTGATGATAATTAAGCTAAGCAACAGTGTGTGAATATAGCAGAATATCATTAATAATCATTTAATTGACAATTTGTGCCAGTCATGTTTGGTTCTATTCTAAATCTCTGGGCTGTCCGGCCTCTGGGTCTGGCACTCCAGGCAGTGTTAGGGATGGACTCCCTCTCATGGTATGGGTCACCAGCTGGATCAGTTGTTGGTTGGCCACTCCCACATTTCATACCAACATTCCTCCACCATAACTTGAAAGTAGAGCAAATTTTATGTGAAAGGTTATGTGCTGGTTTGGCCCGCAATCCCTCCACTGGTCTTGCCTGGTTAGAGGACATGGCTGGATCAGGCTCTGACCTCAATCACTAGGATTCTTTTTTTTTTCTTTTTTTTTTCCATTTTTTTTATTGAGAAAAGGAGAAAAAAAAAACAAGTTTCCACCTCCTCCCAGCCTCCCATTTCCCTCCCCCTCCTCCCATCCTTCTCCCACTCCCCCCACTCCACTCCCCCTCCTTCTCCAGTCCAAAGAGCAGTCAGGGTTTTCTGCCCTGTGGTAAGTCCTAGGTCCTCCCCTCTCCGTCCATTTCTAGGAAGGTGAACATCCAAACTGGCTAGGCTCCCACAAAGCCAGCACATTACGTAGGTTCAAAACCCCGTACCATTGTCCTTGGCTTCTCATCAGCCCTCATTGTTCGCCATGCTCAGAGAGTCCGGTTTTATCCCATGCTTTTTCAGTCACAGTCCAGCTGGCCTTGGTGAGCTTCCAATAGATCAGCTCCACTGTCTCCGTGGGTGGGTGCACCCCTCGTGGTCCCGACTTCTTTGCTCATGATCTCCCTCCTTCTGCTCCTCATTGGGACCTTGGGAGCTCAGTCCAGTGCTCCAGTGTGGGTCTCTGTCTCTATCTCCATCCATCACCAGATGAAGGTTCTATGATGATATGCAAGATATTCGTCAGTATTGCTCTAGGATAGGGTCATTTCAGGTTCCCTATCCTCAGCTGCCCAAGGAACTAACTGGGGACCTCGGTTTGGGCATCTGGGAGCCACTCTAGGTTCAAGTCTCTTGCCAACTCTAAGGTGGCTCCCTTAACTAAGAATTGTGCTTCCGTGCTCCCCTATCTAACCTTCCTTTATCCCAATCCTCCTTTTTCCCCAAGTTCCCCCCATTCTCCCCTTCTCCCTTTTCTCTCCCCATCTCCCCTCTTGGCTATGGGAAGTAGACAAAATTGCCAGGGAGAAAATTGAGATCTTGGGGTTGGGGTGG